GGGGGGGGGGGGGGGACTCTGCATATCATCTTGGTTCAATGTTCAAACTTCCATCTGGAAGGTATAAGAATTTATAAAAATATAGGGGCGATTTTCAAACATTCATTTCCACTTTTTGGTAAGTTCTGCCTGCCTAGAGTATCAGTTATTTGTAGAAATCCCTCCCCTCGTATTTTGGAAACAACTTAATATGATGAAAAACTCTCATCAAATATTTTGTTTTCTTTTTTTTTAATCTAATTTTTAAGGTAAATAGAAAGTGAACTTGATTTGGCTGCGATGTCTCAATATCTCTATCTACTAGAACAGTGGCAGCAAAGAGTGATTCAGTGTCTTTGAGTAGCAGTGATCCATTTCTACTTGTCATAGTACGGGCTAGTGAGTCCAGTAGGTAATGTAAATTTTATGTTGGTGATTTTTTTCGCCTGAAACCTAGTCACCCGCTTGTTCATGTTAATTGCAATTATTCAAAAGTGCTTTTTGATTTCTAATTTTTTCTTTTTGTCCAGCTGTAATTTTACAGCTTGGATCTTGGGATATTTTCACTTGGCAACACCGAGTCGCCAACAGAACGAAAAGACCAATCAGAGGCCTTGGTTGGCCGCTGGATTTTTACCGCCATTTCAAGTTGTTGTGTGTGTGTGAGATGCTGTGTACGGTGTTTGTGTGTGTTTGTGTTAGTTTGTTTTGGTTTGGTTGTGGAGTTCGGATGGTTCGGAGAAGTTCTGCTTTACAGTACAGAGATTTGGAAGCTTAAAATTGATTAATGGAAGTGAATTTCCATAGTAAATTGTTCTCCTTATTTCTATTTGCATCTTTGTGTGTAAGATTTTTGATGTCATAAAATCGTTGACAAATGAAGAGCTGAAGATAAGGAAGGATCTCTATTGCCTAACCCTACTTTCTCCGTGTCCAGACTGATTTTCGCACGTGATAAATTACTATGGCCGTCAACATTGGATGTCTTTCCAATTATTATGTTTAGTCTACCATACGAAAAATAATTTTACGTGAATAATTTCAACCATTCTAGATAAAAGTGTGAAGATGGACACAAGTTTTGTTTGCGTATGTCCATTACTGTAGGTATTTGGACTCATCCTTTTTCGATTAGGAACAAGAGCTTTCCTCGGAGAGTTGAAAACCTTTGAAGCGCCTCTCTTTAGCAGCAGGCTGTCTCGTCACCATGAACTCTATGGAGGTAAGAGTTTTATACTTCTGAGCGATTCAGTTTCGTCTGGACATAATCATCATCAAGCAGTACCTACCTATTACAATTTCATCCCAAAATTTGAGAAATTGATAAGATATTTTTTGACAAGATATTTTACCATCATCGTGGCTTATTATATTCTCTTGGGAAAAATCGTCGCACCTCCGATTCCACATTAGCCCCGGAAAACATAGGGTTATTTGGAGAACAGGGCTCACATGGAAATGGAAATATGCCCTTACGTCATAGGAGCGACGAAATGTGCATGAGGAATGGAAGATGCATCAATATTTGAAGTGGTCTTCTCAATCAGCGTCTTTTCCTTTCAGGCACCAAAGCCTGATTGGTAGGTGCACTTCATGCGTAGCACCTGCCGAAGGTGGTACACTGTTATCAAGTTTGAAAAGGCAAGACTACGAATGATAATCACTCAGGTGCATGCCCATTGATACCATTGTTGCAATCAAGAACTAATTTACTTTTTAAGTTATTGCCAAACTGCTTGAAACATAGTGTATTTGCTGCAATGTTGAGGTGAAGAACGCATAAATTCTTATGATTTTACAATGCTGTTGGAAAATTTGCATACCTGCCGCGATAAGGATTGAGATGATAAACGTGTGATTTCTCACTTTGTCACCTGCGGAAATCAAGCGAGCATCGAGCAACTATTCGAACTCCGGGGTAAATATGTGGTATCACACGAAATTGAAGGAAAATCTTAGGTTTCGCCTATCTCAAGTTACTCACGTTTACGAATATTTTGCTGGCATCCATGTAAAAATCATTATTTGCTATATGGAAGGTGAAAATTTTGTCATCTCAATCAACCGCTAGAAAATCTGCGCTTGTGCCGCCGCCGCCATATTTCGATGACTCTCGCGTAATTTCTCATTTTTTTTATAGAATTATTCACTGGAAAAATCACGCTTTTCCCGCCACAACACCTAGATGAAACTTGCGTAATTTATTAGGATTAAACGCTCTCGCTGGAAATACTTACTGCATATTTATCACAGTATTGAAATGAAACTTTCGCGATTTCCCACTTTTTCCCACGCGGATATGAAGCGAGCATGCACGAGTATTCGAACTGCGTATAGTATGTGGTATCATGCGAAATTGAAGGAAAATCTCAGCTTTTCGCCTATCTCAAGTTAATGATGTTCATGAATATTATGCTAGCATCGATACAGAAATCGCGTATTTTCCTCTATTGTTTTTTTTTTTTTTTTTTTTTTTTTTTTTTTTTTTTTTTTTGCGAAACCGCTGGATAAATAGTGAATTTGTTTAATGTCCACGGAAATTTGCATACAAATGTTGTATGAATCAACACCGGCCCAAGTGCACACCAAGCGCGCAACTATTCGAACTTCGAATCGGAATAGGTCCGTGATTTCACGTGAAAATGAAGGAAAATCTTATATTTTAGTCTGATTTAAATAGATGACCTTCATGAAGTCAATAAATCTGGTCAAAATACATTCCTCTATGTCTCCTCTTACTGACGTTCATTAAATCATGTTTTTTTTATTTATTTATTCAAATATATTTAAGTAAGTGCGCTATTTTAATAGTACCTACATCGCTGAAATAGTATAAAATATATTCTTCTATATCTCTCTACTCACTAACGTTTATTAAATATAATTTCTTTATTTATTTATTTATTTTCTGTTAACTTCTTTTTCGGGTTATTTGGGTGGTGTAAATGAGAAATGCATTATTTTGGATGCGAGATTAAGGTGAAAAACGCGTAATATTTTATGTTCTCACATAACCGCTGAAAAAATCACATATTAGCCGCGATATCGATGTGATGAACGCGTAATTTTTATTTTAGGTAGGTATCACAAATCCACTTGAAAAATCACGTTTGTGCCCCTTTACTAAGATGAAAATCATGTATTATGTCTAATGTATTTATAAAACCGCTGCGCTGGATGAATCGCGTATTTTTTTAATGTTCACGGAAATTCGCATGAATACATATCGACGGTGAAACTACTAGACCACGTCTCTCTGTGTGCGACGATGTAGACTTCCTGTCATACTTTATTTTTTACATGGAAAACTACCCAACGTCAATTCTTGAAAACTTCCGTGTTTTTCCTTCTCTGTGCGAAGAAAACTCTGTGAAAATTTCAATGAGTGATATTGATTTGTTCTCCCTTAAAAAATAAAATAGGAGCGGAGATTTTTTAACATCGCAAATGAGATACGTGGTCTGGTAGTTTCACCGTCGCATTTTTTATGAGTCATCCTCATCCCTAGCGGTCAGAGCGGGCACCAAGCGCGCAACTATTCGAACTCTGGAGTAAGTAATGTGGTATCACGCGAAAATGAAGGAAAATCTTAGCTTCTCTTCCGTCTCGAACACTGCCGTGCTAAGGAAGATTGTATGAACATTCAAGAGTTGCCAAATTTTCTTTGATAAAATTTTCAATTTAGGAGTAAGTTAAGGATATTTTTCCTCGTTTTTGGGAAATTTAGATAAAATTAGGAAAAAAATTACCTGAAAATTAGAAGAAAAATCTTCCTAGATTCACTAGAAAATTCTTTTTTTTTCATCAAAGGAAATCTGGCAACGCCTGAAGCTTTATACGGTGTTTTTCCCGACCGGGTCACGGCAGAATAGATGACGTTTAGGAATGTAGGTACTCATATTGCAGGTGCCATGCTCGCATTTTTATTAATTGGCTTTCCCGATCGCGTCATAAGATTTGTCGAAATTATGTATAGCTACTGCCACTTTGCTGGGCTCAAGAACAACTTACGGATTGAAGGTAGTCAAGAACATCAAAGAACTTTTCGCAGCCTCTGGAAAATTGGAGTATTTATGTTTTTGGTTTTTTCTCAGCAATCTCCAAACCCTAGTATAGCTCTGCGCACCAATGAAATCATAATGAAATTACAGTTAAATGCAATAATTTTTTTTTTTTTTTTTGCTAATGTAAAATTGCAGTTTTTACACTTCATGTTGCCACTAAAAGCAGAATTGATGTATGAAATAAGCTTAACTCATCTAAAAGACAGGCAGTTTCTAGTGTCCAAAAACGGAAGAAAGGAAAAAACCACCACATATTTCAAATTTATCGCAATAAAACACAATAGGAACCCCTTCAATTATCCAGTAGGCATATGTAACGTAAACAACACTCCGGTGCATTTGCCATAACATTACCATGTAGCTGCAATTTATTACAACTTGCGCTATTCGGAAAGTACCGCCGTGCCAAGTGAAAACGCCGTATGAGCATTAGAATGTTGCCAGATTTCCTCTCAGAAAACATTTATTTTTAAAGAAAGTTACAAATATTTTTCCTTGAAATTTTCAGACTACTTAGACCAAATTACGATCTAAATCCTCTGAAAAATCGGAAAAGAATTAATCACAAATTTTGCCGAAAATTCGTGATCTGTCAAAGGGCATTTGGCAACGCCTGACATAGCCGGATCTAGGGAGTGGCCACATGGGCCGCGGCCCATGGCGGCAAATTTAAGGGGCGGCAAATTTAGGGGGCGGCAAATTTAGGGGGCGGCAAATTTTGCAATTTTTTTAAATGTAGCTATAAAGAAAATTCGGATTCAGAAAAAAAATACAAACGAGAAAAGGTGACAAAATCTCTCATTTCCTGAGAGTATATCTCTAATTTTGTCGTCTTTCTGTGATACAATAGACAGCACCTTTAATTAGTTGAGAGTAAGAAAGAAACCGAACGCGGAATTTGGCCTGGAACGGCGCGGCGCACAGAGCAATGATGACGAGAACTTGAGCTGAAAAGGAGAAACCCGCGGCGCGGCGGTCGGCATGTAACACATATTAGCGCCTACAAGACTGCATGAATACTTCACGCATTGCGTCAAAGACAGTGCGGTCGCTGCGGTCAGCAGCGGGCGGTGTGAAATGCACAGCGCCTACAAGACTGCATGAATACTTCACGCATTGCGCCAAACACAGTGCGGTCAGCGCGGCGCAGCGGCGGAAGTTATAATTATGAAACCACATTTATTGTTCTCTCATAATTTCTTCGTTCATTTCATATATGTATGTATGTATAAATGGAAGACCTTGTCCACACAGTGATAGGTTTACGGAACCTAACTCTCGCGTCAAGTTCCGTGAACTTTTGCTAGTAGTGTTGACAGGGCTTTCGCAATAAATGTGTCCAACACGAGTAAACGCGTTTTATGCACCTCTCCCCCTCCGGCACATTCACTTGATGGTTTTTATTGATGTTTCAAAACAAATGAGAAAGGGGCGGCAAAATTCAGGCGGCCTATGGGCGGTAAGTAAGTTAATCCGGCCCTGAAGCCTGATGGCTCTTATGGCGTTCTTTCTTAGCACGTCAAAGTAGTTGTCTTACTGATGAATTAGATTAGGTAAAGGGGGAAACTCATGCATTGTACACCCCTCTCTCATCTCAAGGTATCACTAATCTGGGGCTGGAAGGAGCGCTTGTTTTAACCTTGTTCATATATCGAAGTATCAGCAAACATTTTCTATTCTCCTAAACGTGTTTTCAGTTACTGAGCAATGTAAGTAATCTCGTTTTAAGAAAGGTATGAAGCTCAAAAATTCTGGGAAGCTAAAATATTCGCATTTAATGGCATAAACGACGGATGACAGCGTGCGTGCGACTTTCGTTAGATTAGCGGCTGTTTATAGATAAAATGCATGCCCTAGATTGCAAAATGGCAAAAAGGTTCAGCTATAAATAAATATAGATAAATAGCACTATCAATGGTGGAACTAGGGTAACACGCGCCTCGATCGTAGTGTTTCAAAATGTCCATCCTTACTTATAAGTAAAAGCTTTTTGAAGCTTTTCCAACTATACTGCCGTGATAAAGAAAAGCGCCGTATGAACCTTAAGGCGTTGCCAAATTGCCTCTGGTAAATCACGAATTTTCGGGAAAAGTTGTAAATATTTTTCCTCCAATTTCTCAGATAATTTTGTTTGCAATTTTACCTAAAGTAATTGAACATTTATCGGATAACTTCATAACTTTCCCCAAAAATGAGCATTTTATCGAAGGAAATTTGGCAACTCCCGAATGTTCATACTGCGTTTTTCTTTAGCACGGCAGTATAGCTCAGGCAGATAGTCCTTCATAGTCAATTTTGTTCTGATTAATCACCAAATGTAAGCGTCTATCCTCCTTATTTCCTTCATTCTCTCCTTTTTTCGGGCGAACCGGGGAGGGGGGGGTGGTACACTAGAGTACCTGTATACGGGAGAGTATTGCCATCTCTGTGCCGCTCTCTGATTGGTTCATCAGTTTTAGGCTATCATTGATGCCGCCCATGGGCCGCCTGTATTTTCCAGCCCCCTCCTCATTTGTTTTGAAACATCAATAGATCGTATTCGACAGTAGTTCGATGTATCGTTTGGTTCAAAACAATAGGACATAACCTCAAACAAAAATTTCAGGATTTAATTCGGAAAAGCTGAAAATGATAAAATTCTTAACAATTTCACTTTTCATTGCCATTTGGTACTCGAGAGAATAAAAATTCGATCACATAAGACCCGTTACCTCAGATTTCTAAATTGACTTTTGAGGCTTTGGTTACATATTGAACCAGTCGATATCAACATAATCTCACCTGTGTGATCTGTCGAATACGATCTATAAAAATCATCGAGTGAACGTGCCGGTGGGGGAAGGGTGTACAAGACGCGTCTACTCGTGTTGGGCACATTTTTTGTAAAAGCCCTGTCGACACTAATAAAAGTTCAGTTCCGTAGACCCATCCCTGTTCGGACAAGGCCTTCCATTTATCAAAAAGAACGAAAAAATTATGAAAGAACAAACATAAATGCGGTTAAAAATTGTAACTTCCACCGCCCCGCGCCGACCGCACTGTGTTGGCGCAATGCGTGAGGTATTCATGCAGTCTTGTAGGCGCTATGCATTTCAGGCCGACTGCTACTGACCGCAGTGTGACGGACGCATTGCGTGAAGTATTCATGCAGTCTTGTAGGCGCTATGTGTTCCATGCCGACTGCCGCGCCGCTCCGTTTCAGGTCAAATTGCGTGTTTGGTTTCCCTCATAACTCGACTAATTAAAGGTGTTGTCTCTTGCATCGCCGAAAGACGACAAAATTAGAAATTACTATATACTTTTTCTCTCAGGAAATGAGAGATTTTGTCGCCTTTTCTTGTTTGTACTTTATTTTCTGAATCCGATTGTTTTCTCTCATTTTTTGATACCTACATTCAAAAAGATTGCAAAATTTGCCGCCATGGGCCGCGGCCCATGTGGCCACCCCCTTAATCCGGCCAAACCCGAACCAGAGGAACACGTATTATCGGCTGAGAAATGAATGATAATCACACTCAAAGCTTCATTTTCGGCAAAAATATTAATCAAAGGTCGATCCGAACTCAATCCAGAAGTTGATCATAGACAAATTTCTATCACATCCAAAATCACGTGTAGAACTTCGTAGAAGTTTTTCGCCATCTCGTTTGTTTACATTGGGCCAAAGTAGGAGCGGAGGGGCTGGGGTTCGTTTACATTGGGCCAACTTTGGGGCTCCATGATAGCCGACCAATCAGAGAGCGGCACACTTTTTCTGTAGTAAGAGGATTAATTGATATGGCAATACTCTCCCGTATACAGGTACCCTAGGGTACACTACACCCCCTACGACTAGAGTACCTGTAAAGGGAGAGTATGGACAACTCGAAATATGTAGCTCTTAGGGCTCAAAAGGGTAGGTAACCTTTGAAAACGAAAAATGTCACTGTCAATCTTTAGACTCCAATATTAAACGAAAATGGACAAGAAAATTCATAAGTAAGCAAAATGAGTAAGTTCATGCAAAAACCAAGTCAAATACGTGCTTCACTAACGACAGTTCTCAACAATTTTGATCATAAATCACTCTGGATAATTAGAATTCATAGATTGCCTACCCTCTTGGGGTCTAAGAGCTCCCTAACCTCTAAATTTTCGACATGTCCATTCTCTCTCTATATAGGTACTCTACCTACGACTACCCCTTTTGGATCCACCCATGTCCTCCTCACTGTGCTTTTCATATTTTGCTACATACTGTATCGTGCAAATAATCCTTCTTGCAAACGGAACAGGAGCCATCTGACATCGAGGTCCCCCCATGATTTTGATTCATTTCATTTTTTCCCCAAGTCCGGGACAAGGCATGCTGTTATCAGCTCATAACCTACTTCGGTGCCGGATGGACTATCCGAGAAGTGAGTGGGAGCTGCATCCTGTCAGTTCCTTCCCTTTTTTCTCTCTCTCTCTCTCCCCTCCACCCTTCCCCTCCCCCTCCCGACTTTCCCTCCTCCTCCCGTCCACGAGTGTCAGTCAACGTCGTTTCCCTCACGAATCAACGTAACTGCATTTCAATGTTGCCAAATTTCTTTCCGCAAATCGCATTCTCACCAGGAGAATCTTGGACATTTCTAACCGGAAATGTCATCGAATTTTCCTCCGATCTCGACCAAAAATCGGAAAAATTTTGGACCAAAATTACTCAAGTATATTCTTGTTAAAACTTCAATTGTTGTGCTCAATTTTGCAACCTTGGAATGGAGCTACGTCTCTTCGTCCGGGAAGCGACGTCGTGTCAACGGTGATTTTTCTTCGTATCCCGGAGCAAGGCCCTGTTTCATCATACGAGACAAATCTGTTCTCCCCCTACTCCACCCCTCCCCACCCCGGCACTCGGATTCCTATTTAAATCGGGATTGCACGGAGCCCGGCGTTGAAGTTCACTGGCACGATCGGAAGAGCTCGCTCATCGAGTCACCGAAACGGTCCACCGTTCAATGGCGCTGTCACTGTTCCTCTATAGTTAAGTTAGGTCGTGTACCAGTGGCGACTGGCGAGTGATTCATCGATTATCGATATTCCCTATTTGAAGCTACCAAGAGGTTTTGCCCCCTGGCCGCTACGCGGCTCAACCCTCCCCAAGTAGCAGCGATCGCGATAAATAGCGATTTTTTCGGTTGAGTATCGCGATTATATCGGTGGCAATTAATCGCAATATTATCGAATAAAAAATTGCGATTTATGGCGATTAAATCGCTATGCATAGCAATTTTTTGTTCAATAAAATCGTGATCAATTTTCGTCGATAAAATCGAGATTAAATCGCCATATATCGCGATTTTTGTTGCGATAATATCGCGATTAATTTGCGATTTTATTGCAACAAGATCGAGGATAATCGCTCAGATGTTGATGATCCTAGCGATTTTATCGCCGACAAAATCGCAACGAATCGCGATTTTTCCGTCGAAAAATGCTACTTGGGTCAGAGGGCGCTTCGCTTTCTATTATGCCCGCCTCGACAAAAGAACGACTAAAAGGATGAAAATATTTTTGTACCCGACTCTCATTAATTTATCCAATCTCCCTCTGGCCGGGAGCGATTGGACCAATAAGAATCGAATAAAAAAGTCGGCATTTATTACAAACTTCACGCCAAGACTGAAACACAACGGAACGAACGGAACGGAGCGTTTCGTCGATTTTGGATAGTCAATAGGAAAGAAGCACACCTCCCATTCACTTACCTTACCCTCCTAAGAGACCAGACCCAACATTTAGCGCTAAGGTCAATGTTCCGCTAAGTTTGATATTCCCGCCATTTTCCATCGGCGGGAATTTCAAATTTTGCTCCTATTTTTAAGCTCTCTGGTCTACTCTTGTATAAAAAACGTGGGTCCTATTTCCAAAATTTGATGACAGTAGACTCGTCCAGGGACTTTCGCGTTTACTCGTGTGGGGCACATTTGTTGTGAAAGCCCTGTCAACACTAACGAAAGTTCAGTTCCGTAAATCCACCCCTGTTTGGACAAGGCCTTCCATTTATAAAAAACGAACGAAAAAATTATGAAAGAACAATCATAAATGTGGTCAATAATTTTAACTTCCGCCGTTGCCCGACCACACTGTATTGGCGCAGTGCGTGAAGTATTCACGCAGTCTTGTAGGCGCTATGCGTTTCACGCCGACCGCTGCTGACCACACTGTTTGGCGCAATGCGTGAAGTATTCATGCAGTCTCGTAGGCGCTATGCGTTTCAGGCCGACTGCTGCTGACCGCAGTGTGTTTGACGCAATGCGTGAAGTATTCATGCATTCTTGTAGGCGCTATGCGTTTCACGCCGACCGCTGCTGACCACACTGTTTGGCGCAATGCGTGAAGTATTCATGCATTCTTGTAGGCGCTATGCGTTTCAGGCCGACTGCTGCTGACCGCAGTGTGTTTGACGCAATGCGTGAAGTATTCATGCAGTCTTGTAGGCGCTACGCGTTTCATGCCGACCGCCGCACCGCTCCGTTCCAGGCCAAATTCCGTGTTTGGTTTCTCTCCTAACTCGACTAATTAAAGGTGTTATCTCTTGTATCGCTGAAAGACGACAAAATTAGAAATTACTATACTTTCACTCTCAGGAAATGAGAGATTTTGTCGCTTTTTCTCGTTTTTACTTTATTTTCTGAATCAGATTGTTTTCTCTCATCTTTTGATACCTACATTCAAAAAGATTGCAAAATTTGCCGCCCCCTAAATTTTGCCGCCATGGGCCGCGGCCCATGTGGCCACCCCCTTAATCCGGCCCTGGTATTTAGTGAAAAGTTACACGCTAAATGCGTGTTGCCCGACATACTTTGGGGAGATAGGCATATGTGGCGTTGGGATATTGCAGAACGCCAGAGTGCGCCGTAGGAACGACTTATATTACAAATATTCTTTTAAATTTGCATGATTTAAAATTGTTTTATGGCTACAGATCAATACCTTTCTTGATTCATTCCACAGGAAGGCGCCAGTCCTGACGTTTGGTCGCAGGAAACTGTTGATCTTCTAGGCTCCATCCTAGAAACTTATCGCAAAAACGACGAAGAGAAACTGCTCAAACTAGAGGACGATGTAAACACAATGAAGGGCCTCATTCAATGCTCTCTGGCGTCACGCATACTCAGTGTCCAGAAAGGTGCGTACTTTGCATGAATAATATTTAAAGTCCGTATTTTTTGAAAGGGAGTTTGCACTCGTTTGTGTCACAGATGAGAGGCATTTCATTTTGATTACATTTTGCAATAAGGAACCACTATTTCTGGCCCGTTTTAGAAACAATATACATGCCATTGATTTCCCTATGCAAATATGAACTTTTATAGGAGAGCCAGAGATAGTGATTCTATTGCAAAATGTAATCCATTTTATCGACGAGCGTATTGCTAAATCTACCCCAAAACCCCAAGCGATAACTATCCAAACGCGGTGGTCGTGGAGTTGCATATCGTCATCGTTGAAGGAGAATGTTGCACATTCGATGTTAACCTTCTTCAGAGACAGGGTGGCAAATTTTAATGAAAAATAAAATCTTGAAATTTCGAAATTTATGAAAGATATTGAAAAATGTCGGTTCCTCTTCATGTTTCGTAATATGTAAAAATTGTAACTCTCTCCTATTTTGGTGTGTTTGAAAGCGAGTTGCATACTCTAGCCCTTGAACAATATGAAATATCCCGCTGAAATTTCCAATCTTTCATTTCTTTCTCACGTTTCATGCTACTCACCTCAGAGACCATGCTCTTGCTGTGAGTCCTCTTGCGTAACTTGCCAAGTCGACCCCTACAGACCCGGAGCGATAACTATTTAAACACGACGGTCGTGGGGTTGCATATTCATCATCCCTGTAGGCGTTTTTTGTGCACTTCAAAATCTAGATAAGCAGCCCCTACGTGCATCGGTGAGGCTAGGTCTTAAACTACTTGGTATGACTCGGAGATAGATCGTCAGATAGATAGTGCTACAGTGACACAGAGAAGGCTCCGTCTTTTAACCGCTACGCGGTGCCATCTTTAGTCAGCGATACTCAATAGTAAAAAAAAAGAAGAAATCCTTGATTTCTATTTTTTCACATACGGAAACATGATGACAAATCAATATTATGAGATCAATTTTAGACACGGTTGGTGGTTGGTGGGTGGATATTATTCTTCATTCCTCTGGTCTCAGGCACCCAGTCCATTGATTTCGTCTGTTCACCGTACATGTTTTCTCCGCACAATTCATTTCCATAACAGGGTGCCTAGCGACCCAGAAAAGTCAGGTAGTACAACAGAAGCGAGAACAATCAGGGAAAATCCCTCGTAAAAATTGGCGATAAAAGCTGCGTTTCAAAATACCATAGGAATTCTTATAGCCGGCAAAAGAAGGCTACAGAAAATCATATAGCTGGCTGTAGAATGCAGAGAAAATTATACATACGGCCGGGCTATACGAAGCGATACAAAATTATGCAGCCGGGCTGTAGTTCCTATAGCCGGGCTTTACACTTTATCGCCTGGCTGTTGCTCTTTCGCCATCGATTATAAAAGGCTGTAAGAAATTGTGAAGAAATTCGTGTGCTTTGGAAATCATTAAGTTCGGATACGGAAACACCTTAATATTTACAAAACATACGTTATATTTTCCTTTAATACATATTTTTTTTCATCAATTAAAACGATAATAATCCATACATTATGTGCAAACATTTCCAAATCATGAGTTTAATAACGCTGACTCCGCCAGATTAAATATTAGAGTCTAACCCAAAGCGGAGCGGCGACGCACTGGCGCCTACAAACGTAACAGGGATACTTCACGCATTGCGCAACGTGTGAAGTATCCCTGTTAGGTTTGTAGGCGCCAATGCGCGTTTCGCGCTGGCTGCCCGCCCGCCGTGCCGCGCTGCAGCGTACCACGGCGCTTGAAGCAACTGTTTCACACCAGAGGTATTGCACAGTATCATACGAAACTGAAGGCGCTCCAATATATTAGGAATGGCAGGCATCCATCGAAAGTACGAAGCTTTCCTCGCAAAATAAATCAAGATACTACGGCCCAAAAAGAGAGCAGTGGTCCGAAAACTCACTAAGTCCTAGCCCCCGTAATTAGTGACGTTTAGCATACACTTTATCGCCTAGCTGTGAGTTGCTTAATCGGCATCGGCTATAAAAGGCTATAAGAAATTGTGTAGCCGGCTATAGAAGCTATTGGAAATCTTACAGCCGGCCGTGGGCCTATGGTATTTTGGAACACAGATTCTACTGCCAATTTTTACCAGGGAAGTTAGGGAATTCCATCGACGGTCAGGGAATTTTTGGTGGAGTCGGGGTCCACGTAAGAATGGACGCGCGACGTTTCCGCACACTTTTGCCTTTTTTTTCATTTCAGCACACTTCCACCGAAAAATCATCTCCGCACACTTTGAATTTAATCATGATTTAAACAGCAACACTGGACGACTATAAAAACTTGAGATGTAATGATAATAAAGGAAATAAAATAAAACGAGAAAAACATACATGGGAAATAAAAGAGGTACTCACGGAAACTTCAGTTTTCTTTGTCCGAATCCACAAAGGCTCCATCGTTGGCGTCAGATTCAGTAGGTTTCTTATGCTTCAGATCAACAACTTCTCGGAGAAAATCGAGCGTTTTTAGTCTTCCTGATAGGTAAAAGTATGTGACGTCAGTTATGTTATCGTGGAGCTTCTGTATTTGTGGGCGTTTTTTGCATTTTGCGCCACTACGAACCGACCTGACTTTTAGATCAACCAAGCTTCAGAATCAGTTCAGACGTACAGCTGTGTTGCCAAATCGTTCATCGCGCGAAAACGGAGTGTGCGGAAATGGATTTTCAAAACAACTGTGCGGAAATGAAAAAAGGGAAAAAGGGTGCGGAAAAGTAGTGCACCCGTAAAAATCGGGTCCGCGACGGGCCAGCTGATCGTGCTGGTGTGCCAACCTCTTCGATCACATGTATTAAATGTCCTTATGTCATTGTAAAACAGTCAGAGGATTTCATTAGAAGAAGTCAGGGAAAAGTCAGGGAATGAAATTTTGCTAGCCACCCTAGATGACCTCTTTCTCTCCCCGGAGGAATGGGTTATTCATTTTTTTTCGTTTTCCTCCTTTGTTTTATTCTAGAAAACGAAGCCTTGCTCCTCGAGCAAGCCCAGACTCAGAGAGAGCTAACCAGTGTTCAGAATGAACTATCTGCGACCAGGGAAGAGCTCGAAAAAGCCCTGAACTTTCAACAAATGCAACGAAAAGATCAAGAAGAGCTTACAACCGTCCGGAGCGAATTAGCTGCGACAAAGCGAGAGCTAGAACAAGTGAAAAGGCAGTGCGCGGCTGCCAAAAAAGTAGCGACAGATTTGCAGAAAAAGCAGTCGATGCTGGAAAAAACCAATCAGTCACTGAGAAGTGAGAAAGAAAGTTATTTAGAGCGACTGACCCAACAAAGTTCCTACTGCGTATCGCTAGGAGACGTAATGGGAACACTTCTCTGGAAATGTACAAGTTTGCCCGAGACTATCGAACTACTTTCCCGAACGGTAAAGCTTTTTTCATGGATATTATTTTACATATAGAGCGAGCTTTGAAAAATTGCTTTTCGGAAGTAGAAAGTGAAGTAAAATCTGGCAGTTTTCCTTTTTTAATAGATAATCATACCTTATTGCATTTTTTTTTTTATAAAAACATTATTTTATTCTGAAGACCCTAAAATGGTTTTTTTCCATGAAAATTCCGAAAATTCCTTAAAGTTTATATAAATAAATCTGTCATTCTAAACTGTGCGTAAAATTTTTGAGTTCTCAAATGAGAGGCATTAAAGATACGAGTCTAATATTTTTGACATTTTTAGACGATTAATCCAAAAGAACCAACATTTTTTTTCTTCCCAAAAAATACGACAATTTTTTTTAAAAAGAACGTACTTCAATAATTCAAACCACGAGTTCTTGAAATAAGTTTTTTTTTAAAAGTTTCTGCCTGCATAGCTCTTTTCTCCGTCTTTATGTAAACCTTAGTTTTCGGGGGTGCCACAGTCCGGGAATTGTCAGGGACTGTTGCAAACTCAGGGAAAACCGGGAAATGTCAGGGAAAATGATGAAAGTGTCAGGAAAAATTGTCCATGCTCCTTTATACGCTTTGTAGAATGGGTTTGAACGGGTTTTGTGTTTTGAATAACCGAATTTACCCTAAAACTACTTTAAATTATGTCTTTTCAACCATCTGGCGTATCTTCATTTGTCGGGGAATTCACTCAAATATGTCAGAGAAATCAGGGAAATGTCAAGGAATTTCTTTCTCCAAAGTTTGAGGCAACTCTGTTGAAAACTAGATGTTCGTTGGATTCTACGGGTGAATAACTCTGAAAAGAACGAGACACAATTTTTTAATTATTGGGGGGGAGGGGGTTGAGTATTTTTTACGTGACAAGTACCACTGAAATCAAACGTTCTCATTTTATTTTTAAAAGGAGAAGACGAAAGAACTGCTACACTTGGCGGCAACGACGCTGAATACTTTCATTGCATCTTGTCCCGACTCCTTTCCTGAGGAAGGTTCCCGTGAGTTATTGTTCATATCTTCCCTGCTTGGAATCATCGCAAATCTAGTGACTGTAAAAGAAGGCTGTTTCACGCTCACTTCCACCTTCATCGGAGCAGGGACTTTCATCGGCCCAATTCTAGAAGCTCTACCCACCATTTACTTGAAAGCCGGAGATAATCTTAGATCGTAAGCATTTAAATTTGCTTAGTAATTGGACGGAGTTAAACAGAAAGGAACCAAGCCACATCAGGATCGAACCGAGAAAAAGAGGTTTAAAGTTTGGCTCCTGCATAAGACTCAATGTAAAAGATAAACTTCAAGTTCAATTTCTGCAAACTTTGCTCCAACAAAAACTTTGAATTTTTGGCGATGGATAGTAGAGCAGTGGTTGAGTTCAAAACCACTCATAACTCAATTTTTTCCAAAATGTGGGTTGGTTCCTTTCTGCTTAACTCAGTCCAATTGTACCTATCACATGGATGACTGTCATGTTCTTGAAAAGTTGAGGAGTTGTACCTACCTAGAGCACCTATACAGGGTGTCAAGCGATCGGTAAAGCCGGGAGCCCCGGGAAATTTCAGGGAATTTTTGGGGGTGTCAGGGAAATCAGGGAAAACGTCAGGGAATCTGCCAAAGTTCGGCATGCTGGGGAATTTTGCAAGCGATTTTCGTGTCAGGGAAACGTCAGGGAAATCGCAAAACACGAATTTTCCGGGAAATGTTTCGCGAATTTCACTCTCACGGAAATTTCTATCAGAATTTCTGCTAATGTCTTTTAAAGTTTAGAAATGAGGCAAAAATATCACGCATCAGTTTAGGCATCATATGTTTGGCTCTATTTATTACATTATATTACGAAAACACGAAAAAAATTCTTACTTACATCTAATCAGTTCGGACGTGTCGAAAAAGTAGGAAATTTTTCCTTTTTCAGGGAATCATTTTTTCCGTCTGTCAGGGAATTCCGAATTTTTTCTCGTAGTTTTGGCTGTTTATGGCAGGGTATCTAGGGAAATGTCAGGGAATTTTTGTTTGAAAATTGCTGGACACCCTGCCATACAAGGAGATTACGGACGTGCCTAAATATGGAGCTCTTAGGAGCCAAAAGGGCAACCATTCTACTAACACAAAAAATGTCACTACCAATCTTCAAATTCCAATATCAAACCAAGATAGCCAAGAATGTCTATATCCCCATATCTCAAAGTTTAACACTAATCCGTTTGTTTAAAGTATGACAGGACGGGGGAATTATTTTACTCAGGTGTTTAATTGGGCTAAGTATTGTCTCTTTATTGCTCCTCTGGCGCCCTAAATGACCTTAGCTTTTTCCATCACCCACCAATTTTTCAGAAAATCGAATTTTCCATCAAATACCTTTTAAACCGACAAAAACAGGTATTTTTATTTGTGCCATTACGCTGCAACCCTCCATAAATCATTTTTTTCCCGTTTCCTTTTCCTTCGGACAGAACTATACTCCTACTCCTACACAATCTAAGTTTTTATGAGGATGGTGTCAAATCCATGAAGGAATATTTTACGTCAAATCTACAAATTCTTGGAGCGGCCATGAAGACCAACACAAACGAGCATTCGTTGATGATATCCCTTCTCACACTCCTCGCCTTAACCCGAAACATCGGTGATGTCACGTGCTATCAGTCTCTTATACAAACAGTGAGTTTAACATAATTTTTAGAAATCGAAAACTAATGTCCAAATAGTGCGATGATTCTACGGGCTAAAATCGCCTTCATATTTGACGGATATGCAACCATACGACAGCCGTGTCAAAATAGTTATCTTTGCAGATCCGAAGGCGGGCTTGAAAAATAAGTACCCACGACAACTAGCGCTTGAAGTTTCCGGTGATAACTATTTCAACAGCTGTCGCGTGGTTGCTTATGCACTTATGTGAGCGTTTGCCATGTTTTTTTTGTTTTTTATGCGAGCGTTTTAAACGATAAATTCAGATGTTTACGGTTTTTTAACGTCATGACGAGGTCCCGTGTCAGTTAAGTGTCCTCTACGGCAACTATCTAATTTTTGTTTGGGGGGGGGGGAACCCCCACCCTGAGTCCTTAACTTATGACATTTTGAAAATTCCTTAGTTAAGTCAACAACTGCTTCAATTTATCACAGCGGATAAATAAAGAGACGCTTGAGCAATATTTTCGAGGTGTGGTCATTCTCTTTGCTTCTTAATTTTGAAATGCGTCATTAAAATATTATGCCTGAATGAATATGCTATGCCCAGTTCTTTAATTATTTGTTTACCGGTCCTCATTATTTTTTGTTCCATTCTCTTACGGTCCATATTTTCTACCCTCCCATTTCAGATCCCAAGAAGCGAGTTAGAGAATTTGAAATACGACAGTCCAAGCCACGATGTTAAAAATGCCATTTCCAGTATTCTAAAGAATTATGAACAATTCGAAGTGGAGTTTCGAAGACACCCTAGGAACAAATTATTTTGATCCTTTCAGCCATCCATACCCCTATTTTCTCCTGACCTCAGTGAAATTTTTATTTCCTCTAGATTTTTTCATATTTGTTATCTTGAATGAGTGTTTTCATTTGTTAAGTATATTTTTTTATGTACATATTTTTTGCGCTCCATTATAAAGCAAATTCCCCTCGAATGACTCAAAGTGACAAACTGATCAAGATTAATTCTGCGACCCAGTCTGAAACCGAGATAATATACTTCCGTGCTAAGGAAAAGCGCCTTATGAGCCTTCAGGCTTTGCCAAATTTCCTTTGATAATACACGCGAATACCGTGATAAACTTATGGATATTTTATTTCAATTTTTTGGATAATTGTGTTCGCAATTTCACCTGAAGCTCCTGAAAATTTCAAGGAAAAAGATTTATGACTTTCCTCAAAAATAAACATTTTATCGAAGGAAATTTTACAACTCTCAAATTTTCGCACGGCGTTCTTCCCTAGCACGGCATAGTGGCAGTCCTACTTGTTATCCGATCGTCCAAATCGATGTAAGCGGTGACCAGTGGCGTGGCGTGCTTTGCGATATATCGATTGTTATGCCATTTAAACCTATGGAAAAGTATCGATAAACAGGGTGTTCGCACCGAACACCTTAATAATCGATTATTTACCACTGCTTCAAATGGGGAAATATCGATAGATCGCAAAGCACGCCACGCCACTGTCGGTGACGTCATTAATTGAGGCCGCTTCCACCATTCGAATGTGTAGCTGCGAGCCTTAAATCCGTCAGACTTTTTGCCCCAGTTTTGTCCTCAAGAAGGGCACTCGCACTTAAAAAAAAAAAAATCCTTTCAAATACTTCCTCACACCTATACTCACTAACCTACCTGAACAAGAATCTGTGAAAGAGGTCGTTTAGTCGTAATTTACGGCCCTTGAGACCCTCAAAATGTTGACATTGATGCTCAACCGCACCGATTGGATTCTCAACGATCCGTAAATTTTACTAACGACCCCACCCCCTCCTCCTTATTACCGCGCGTTCGATTCGGCAATAGGGGTTTTCAGTGACAAAACTACAAAACAAACACGGATAAGCATCCAAACACGTGTTTCCAGAGGGTACTTAACTATGACAAATGCGCTGGGCAGGGCGGCGCACAGTGGATCGAGTCAATAGGAGAGGTTGGACAAAATGTTGAAACTCTCAACGCTCATAACTCCGTTCATACAAAACTTCGAATTTTTATAAGTGGTTTCATTGGTCTCCTCTTGAAATTTTCCTCAAGAGGCACCCCTTAAAATTCAAAATGTGACGAAATAAACATCAAAATTTACAATTTTTGTCAAAAATTTCATGTCCTATCGACTCGTGGATCGAGTCTATGGGAGCGTTTGGACAAAATTTTGAAACTCTTAACGCTCATAACTCCGTTCATCCAAAACTTCGAGGGTTTAAAAGTGGTTCCATTGGTCTCCTCTTGAAATTTACCTCCAGAGGCATCCCTTAAAATTCGAAATGTGACAAAATAAACGTCAAAATTTACAATTTTTGTCAACAATTTCTTGTCCAATCGACTCGATCCACCGTGCGGTGGGCGCTACTAGCCGCGCGGGGATGAAAGAACACAATGGAGCACTTATAGGCGCGAATGGCCGAAGAAAGGAGGGAGCACAAAGATGGAACAAGTGAGTGATACTCGCCGTTTAGGTGCGAGAGACCCGCGAAAATCCGGGTCCGCTCGTCGGAGGCTGCGGTCGCCGCCGCGCTGGTGTCCAGTGTCCTCACAGTGTGGACACATCGTACCGAAAAGCGATTTTTTTAAAACCAATTATTTTATTATTCTCTTTTTTTATTTTTTTTAAAGATTTTTTTGATTTTATAGAGATTCTTTTAATATTTTTATTTTTTAGGATTTTTATTTTTTTAAGGACTTTTTTAGTATTTTTATTTTTTTAAGGATTTTTTTTAAAGATTTTTATTTTTTTTAGAAATTTTTTAAGATTTTTATTTTTTAGAGATTTTTTTAAGAGTTTTTTCAAGATTGCCGTTTTTTAGAGTTTTTTTTAGATTTTTATTTTTTTTGAATTTTTTGAAAGATTTTTTTTTTTATTTTTTTTAAAGATTTTCTTAAGTTTTATAGATTTGTTTGGTTTCCTACTTTATTCCATACATCTTCAACAAAAAACAAATTTAGTAAGTCAATGGATTGTCCCAGCATAATTTTGCGACGAAATATTTATTTATTAAATTTTATGATTAGATAGGCTTTAACTAGAATGAGCCCAACTTCACCAAACGTCGCCCAATCTTCTCTTGCGTTTTATCGTTTGAATAGAAAACCAAGCAAAATTCTGCCTCGAAATTCTTTCAAAGCATCCTTCTTAATCTAGGAGAAATTTGCAGAACTTTTAAATGCATCGTGTTGTTTAGTTCACTGTCAAAAAAATAAAACGTGACAGGAAATCGTGTAATCAGTTAGGCCGATCGTGATTAAATCCGTCCAAATAAAAATTAATTAAATAGTTATTCAATCAATTAACAAGAACGGCTTTAGAAGCCTTAATTTTACCGTTAAATTTTGCCTTAGCTGTGAATTTCAATTTAAGAGATCTCTCACTCTTGCCACAAACCAAGTCAATGCTGATTGTAAATGAGAAAAACGAAATGCTGAATCACAGCTTTTTCTTATTACCTCTGTAACACAAGAAGGTTATAATAGATCGTTAATTTTTGCTTTTACTTATAATTCGCCTTCATTTTTGGTTGATACCATATCGCAACAGTAAGTTAAAATAGTTGTATCATTGCCATGCGTCAAGATGTGACTCTCTCAGTTCAGGAAGAGAAGAAGAAAGGCGTGTCCGAGGGAGTATTTCAATCTTTTTGTTTTCCTTGAATTAAAAGTGAAACAATTTTTATGCGTCCCAAAATTCATAGTATGTACTAACAACAGTGTATTTGCTTTCGGTTAAGAAAAGGAAAAAAGTATCAAAACAAATCGTGCCTATGTGTTAGTATAGATATTTTATTAGTTCGCTAATTTATCCGCTACTTATAAATGAGTAAGTGTTTATATCTGCCCAGGTGAGTAATTTATGGGGGTTTTTTTTTTTTCGTACACGTCTGTTACAACCAACTCCCAAAAGAGTTGAAATATGTAAGTTTGTCTGCAACTTCTTTTTAGTGAGAGGATTTGGTGTGCAGCTAAACCAACAGGTAAGAGTTAATGCATCTAAGTTTTTTTCTTCCTCTTTCCTAAAAATAAGAACAATTATTTTGAAGTCCTAAAAAATAAATCACGGCATTCAGAATGTCCTAAAATTCACTAGCCTTCCCTCATCATAATTACAGAGTGTCTATCTTCATTAAAAACCGGAAAATATAAAAAAACTCGACGATCTCAGGAAAATAACAGGAAAATCGGATATTGGTCAGAAAATTCAAGAAATTTTCAAAAATTCAATCAATGTCATTGTTTTTTTAAATACAACTAGTTCCACTCTCTACGCTCAACAAATCAGGAAATCTCGTCTAAAATTTCAGGAAAAATCTGAAAAAATCTGGAAAATCCAAAATTTAATTCTATTACGTAGACAACTTGAAATAGCACTTTAAAATTTTTAATTTCTCCCTCCCCTTGTGGGTAGAGGAAAAGTATCGTCATCACAAGAAAGAAAGAAAGAAAAAAAGTAGAAATTTCTTAATTTTTTAATTTTACTTTTAATATTTCAGAGATAATATGCATTTTCAAAACATGCGACAAACAGCGTATGAATCCGGCGTAACTCATCCGTAATTCTTCATGCTCAGTGTAAATCCTTTCCCTAATCGCCGACTGACACATTCGTTCTTTGTTTCCCCAGGCTGGACTCGATCCTCCAATCGCCCTAGGAGCCCCGAAGAAGCAGCTACCGGCGAGGCAACTCCGCGGCCCCGTCCCCCGCTGACGTCACCGGGGGTCCGGTTGACGCGGGGGTGGAGCGGACCCGGCCCGGGATTCGAGGAATGCCAGGAATCGTAAGACCAAAGGGCCGGGTCCCTTGCCGATAAACAAAAAAACGAAAAAACAAAAGCACCTCGGATCGGAATGAGCCGCTCGACCTTCGCCGGAGCCCAGCATAAACCACGAATATCCCGAAGCTCAGCATTGGACTTAGGCGGTTCTTGGTTACGGGATCGTCGGAACGCCCTCCGGCCGAGGCGCAAATTTCCGCCCATGTCCAGCAACTCCTGGAGCGAGGACCGAGGTTGGAGCAACCCCCGTCCGGAGAGGAGGCTCAGTTGGTTTCGTGCCGCTGTTGATCGTTGTCTCTGGTGCGCGCCGCGCAAGCGTTATGGGAACCGCGAGATAGAACCCCGGACGCTCTTCGGACCATGGATCTCAGCCGTCAGCTTCGGTGAGTTGCACCAATTTTTCACACCGTTTTCGCACCTGTGCCAATCCCGGGCCGCCCAGTTCCCGACCAGGGGCTCCGGGGACAAGGTCGCGTGGCCGTGTCGCCGGCACTCGCATGGTGAGGAGAATTCGCGGTTTAAATTCTATGAAACTTTTTGGTTTTTTCCCATTTTTTGGGGGTTTGTCTTATGCTGTGATTTTTTCAATAAAATCTCACCTCAGATGCTTAGAAGAGTTATGTGTACCAAGATTCGTGTTTCATACTGTTATCACTGGTTATGAGAATTCGCGGTTTAAGTTCTATAAAACTTTTTGGTTTTTCCCTTTTTTTTTTTTTTTTTTATGCCTTGATTTTTTCAATAAAATCTCACCTTAGGTGCTTAAAGGAATTAAGTGTGCCAAGATTCGTGTTTCATACTGTTATCACTGGTTATGAGCATTCGCGGTTTAAATTCTATGAAATTTTTTGGTTTTTTCCCATTTTTTGAGGGTTCGTTTTATGCCGTGATTTTTTCAATAAAATCTCACCTCAGATGCTTAAAAGAGTTAAGTGTACCAAGATTCGTGTTTCATACTGTTATCACTGGTTACGAGAGTTCGCGGTTTAAATTCTATGAAACTTTTTGGTTTTTTTCCCACTTTTTGGGGAGATTTGTTTTTTGCCTTGATTTTTCAATAAAATCTCACCTGAGATTTCAGATGGTTAGAAGATGAGTTGAATATACCCAGATTTGTGTTTCATCCTGTTATCACTAAAGCCAGATCACTACGTCGGAATTCCACGGTTAAAACTCTATGAAACTTTTTGGTTTCTTCTCCTTTTTTGGTTTGTTTTTTGCTGGAAAAAAAATCTCCTTAGATGCTTAACTGAAATTAGTGTACCAAGATTCGTGTTTCCTATCGTTATCACTGGTGCCCAGATCACTCTGTTACAATCCCGCGGTTAAAATTCCATGAAACTTTTTGGTTTCTTCTCCTTTTTTTTTTGGATTTGTTCTATGTTCAGATTTTTTTTTTTTTTTAAAAAAAACTCACTCCAGGTGTTCAGAGGAATTTAGTGTACCAATACTCGTGATTTATGCTGTTATCACTTTAGTGCCCCGATCTTTATGTTAAAATTTCGGGGTGAAAATTACATTAATATTTTACGGTTTTGTTTTTTGGCCATATTTTTTTTAAAAAATTGTCATTAATTGTGCCGACAAGAATTTAGTGTATGAAGGTTCGTGCGTTGTACTTTACTTGTGCTTGGATCACTACGCTAAAACTTCGCCGTTTGAATTTTTTCATTAATTTTTTTACTTTTTTTTGGTTCTATTTTTAGTGTATTTTTCAGATAAGAATACCGCATTTTGCATTTTTTTAACCTGATGGTGCCTAATTAAGCTTTGTTTCCAAGATTCGCTCCTTTTTCTGTTCTTATGCCCGAATCACTACGTACTATAATTTCGAAAGTAAAATTGTTTGTTTTTTTTAAATTTTATTTCTTCAGTTCTTGCTGAAAACCGTCATTAGTAGCTAATATAAATTTCTTGCTTTTTTGGGTTTTTTTTAAAATTTTTTATTTGATTTACGTTGATTTACCCGAGTTTTTCATCTGTAGCGCCAATAAATGAGTTTCTTGAACCAAAGTTCGTTTCTCATATTTTTCTCAGGGGTGCTCGGATAAGTACTTACGCTGAACTTACGCGATTGCATTTTTGATTTGGATATTTTTATTGGTTTCTCGCATTTACATTTTCTTGATCAAAATTTGTCGAATTGTTAGACTTGATTCTTACGTCTGTTTCCCCTCTTATTTCTTTTGTACGTCCTGTGTACTTATTCGTAGCTTCTTTCAAAGGAATATTTTTGTACCTAGCAAAAAAAAAAAAAAAAAAAAAAAAAGAAGCTTATTACTTTCTTAAGTGAAGACTTTTCCTCTTTCATTGAAAGGTTCTATTGGATACAGTTTCTTCAGTTTCTGCTGTGGAGTCAGGTGTCGTGCTCCTTGTGGTCATAAACCCCACTCGCCATTAGGTATTGCTCATGGTTTTTATCGGGAGAATCCTGCCAGCAGTAGCTTACGAATCTGGAGGGAAGGAAGATTTAGTACTCCATCATTGCTGAAAAGTACCTTCAACTTTTCCAGTTCGGACTACTTTTTGCAGTTAGGAACTACAATTTCTGGATCATTCGTGCAAACGCTTATATGCATAGGGAAACTAATTGTTCATACGTTATGTCTAAACTAAGCCACGAAATAGTGGTTTCTAATTGCAAAATGTAGTCCGTTTATTAGTTAGTCATCATTATGGCAGTCCGAACTCTCAAGTCGTCATTTTTCTCACGAAAGAACTAAACTACATTTCAATGTCGCCAGACTTTTTCGCGTGAATTGATTTTCACAGGAGAACTTTGAGATTTTGTAACTGAAAATTTCACCAATTTTCCCGCTGATCTCATGCCAAATCAGACAGATTTTCGACGGAAATTAGGCAGGTTTCTTCTTGTGAAAAATTGAATTATTTGAGTCAATTTTGCAACCTTGGAATGGAGTGGCGTTCTTTCGTGCAGGAATCGACGTATTGTCTCACTCTGTTGTTCTGAGTGAGAACGTCGTATGTGCCGTCAGCCATTGCCGAATTCCCTTTGTTTAATACAAAGTTCCAAGGTACCCTGTAAATGATTGGGAAGAAAAACACATTGGATCTAGAGTCCAGACTCTTGAAAACATTGACAAGATAAAATACTCTTGATTCAATCAGATTTAAGCTTAAATCACAAGGTAATCCGCTCAAATTAAGAGGCTTGGTTCTTGATTTAAGCAAAAATCCGATTGAATCAAGAGTATTTTTTCTTGTCGATGGTTTTAAGAGTTTGCACTCTAAAGCCAATGTGTTTTTTTTCCAGTGATGTTTTTCTCCCGGGTTTTCTGGGATTTTTTATGCGATCCCACCCGAAGTATCCGCACACTTGAAGAGAAAATATTCACAATCTTCTTCCAAAATAAATATTTCGCGGGGGAAATCTGGCAACATCTGATGTTTTTACAGCGTTTTTCTTCAGTGCGCAGTGAGGAGCCCCCCACCCGTTCTTCGAGTCATTTGCAGTTCATAAATCATATTTTCTGGATCTGGATCTCAGCCCGGCGAGACGAGGGTGACATCCATGGATCAGTTTGGAGCAGTAGGGTCGCGCGGTAGGTCCTCACAGATGGTCCTGGTATGCTGCTGTGCTAAGGAAGAACGCCGTATGAACATTCAAGAGTTGCCAAATTTCCTCGAATAAAATGTTTATGTCAGAGGAAACTTAAGAATATTTTTTCTTGAAACTTTCAGAAACTTTAGATCAAATTACAAACAAAATTATCCGAGAAATTGGCAGAAAAATATTCAAAAATTCTCCCATAAATTCGTGATTTGCCTGAGGAAATTTGGCAACGCTGGAAAGCTCATACGGCGTTTTTCCTTAAGACGGCAGTATGGCGCTTCTACTCGTAGCAAAGTGCTGTCACCCCGCTGTTGCCCTATCTGACGACATTCGACAAGTTTTGAGGGCAAAGAAAATTTGCGAATTTTGAGGTTTCTCTAGGAAGCCTTATTTTGTCAGAATCTACCTTTTATGTCACGCCTGCGAAAACAGAAATCGTAATTGATAGACAAAGCGATAGACAAAGAAGACGAAGGGAACATAGAGTGATCCTTCTGGTCGAAGCGAGTGGTTCTTATAAACCAAAGGGGTAAAACGATTGAGTAACTATAGGGTCCCTCGTGGTGGGTTGCCGTTAATCAGTCTATTTCTTACCTTTTTTGTCCATCGCAACCACTTGCTTCCACCAATAGGATCGCCTCATGTTTCCTTGTTTTCTTTGTCTTTGCTTTATCCAACACTTTCAATAATCACCCTGAAGGCCTCCCTAAAAGTCAGATTTGGTCCCTCCCATAAATGTGAGCAAATTTTGTAAATAATTACGAGACAAATGTATGTATTATTTCTCAAAGTGCATTTCAATAAGTTTTTTCGGTAAAAATAGCTCAATGTCGTTCCGGAGCCGACTTAATTTTTCGAAATCCCGAGAGAGACTCATCAGAATTCTTTTTGGAGTTGGGACAGTCCTTAGACCCCCTTGAACTTGGTGGGGTATATTTCCGTGCCCCCAGACATATCCTCGATAGGTTGCCTCTCTGTGCCCCTCAGACCCCCCATCACATGATAAGGTGCCCCTTCCCCTCCGCCATAAAAAGTTTCCAGTTCCACACTGGTTCCACACAGATTGGATAATCTGACTCTGACCCAGAATTTTTTCTAAATTTTTTGAAATTTCATTGAGATTTTGGAAATGTTGTCCCTTCAAGGAAACATAATTTCATTGTTTATTAAGTAACTCAAAGCGACCAGTCGAAAGGATTTCACAAAGAATTGGCACGCCAATAGCTGAAGAGGAACATACTGTATAAATATACAGGGATCTGATGCTATTTATTTATTTTTTTTGCGTGTGTGCAAAATTGTGTAAGAATAATATAATATGTTCACAAAAACACGACATAAACATGCAACACTGTGCAATTTCTTTCTAACCAGGACGAAATATACCAGAATTTACGTCCCAAGGATGGACAAAAGTTGGAGCCGAGATTGAGAAATAAATGCAAAAAAATGGAGTTCCTTAATGATTGAATTTTCATATCATTCTGTACTTTCGTATTATTTTCCTGAACAGCGGAATCCACGAAAACTATCTATACCTACCGTTACTCCACCACTTCAGTTATTTGCACCGTCTTTATCGCTTCGTCTACATCTAACAAGAATGTAATGTATCTTCCGTAGTCGAATCTCTAATTATTGTTTACTCCTTAGAGCAATTTCTATTGAAAGGAATATCTTATCACTCAATGTGTGTATTTCCTTCATCGAGTGAGAGTTCCGACCGACAAAGTTTTAACATGAATATGTGTGACATACTTTCCATTATGGGAACGTCGCTAGTCTAGGAGGCGTGCAATTGCCGACGTGGAAGGAATACGTATATTTGTTCTATTTTTCATAGTGACGAAGAATAAATAAAGTTGACGCATCCTGATGCATTTCTGCGAAAGAGACTAGCTTTTTTGATCCTCCCGCAAAAATCCTTGTCACCTCCGACGCTTTTATTCGTGGTAAATAATGAATGAGGGCATGTAACATGGACATATAGGATTATGTTTCGATGGTTTAAATTGATACACGGAAAAAAATTAAATGTTGATTTAGCATTTATACTGTTAAAAAGATGTCCGACAAGCTTCAAATGCTGATTTTACAATACAAAAATGCTATCCTAACATTTTAATTTGTACATTTTGCAGTGGGCGTGGTTACGTTAGCATTTGTTAAAATGTATAATCAGCTTTGAAACTTGTCGGACATCTTTTTGACAGTATAAATGCGAAATCAACATTTAATTTCTTTCTGTGTAGCTATTAGTAAAAGGGTCGTAACTGACTGGAAATGTTGCACGAGTGAGAAATTTGCGATGTGACTATTGATTCTTATGTAAAAATTCGCGATAAACACGATAGTGCCACTGGTTTTTTTTTAAATCAACTTCTAAGCTCAAAAAAAGCTTTCAAGTTGAGGCCAAAATGGAGGGGATATCCCGGTCTATCTTGAGAGTCCACCTCTACATCAAGACAAACTCTCCATGCAAAGATAGGGAACAAATACACTAGCAGGGTTGCCGTGTTTTCAGTTTTAGAGTCCCCAAATAAGGTGGCAGCCCTGTGAATGTATTTGCTCCCTATCTTTGCATGGAGAGTTTGTCTTGATGTAGAGGTGGATAGCGTGGGATATCCCCTCCATTTTGGCCTCAACTTGAGAGCTTGTTTTGAGCTTGGGAGTTGATTTCAGAAAAAACCAGTAGCACCATCGTTTCTCTCGCGAACTTTTACATAAGAATCAACAGTCAAATCGCAAATTCCTCACACATGCAACATCTCCATTATGTTTCGATGGTTTAAATTGATTGTTATTTGTAAAATGGTCGTAACAGACTAATTTTATTTTGTTGAAAATTCGAATTTTTAAAATTTTGAATAAGCGGAGAAGGGGTCCGTAACGTATGAAAAATTCGATAGGGTTCTTTGAAGCCAGACGCGAGCTGCTAAACTCATCGGCAACTTTTGTGACACAGCGAGGGAAAATGTGACTCAGGGTAAAAACTCAAATTTTTCAGCACAGCAAAAAACCTGGTTTGTGGTAAAAAATACCCTTTATTAGTTTTTGATACTAAGCACTTTGGATGTAATACTCCTAAGAATAGTAGGTCAAAGTTACAAACCATACTTTCCATTATTTATGATGCTGTAAGCGTTTGAAACGAATCGTTCTTTTGACTTGTAAGAGAGCGCCGGCGAAGTTCGACAGCGATTTTTTTTAATTTCCCATTTTTAATCCTCAAACATTGAATTCTTGCAGTCAAAGGGTCAATTTTTGGGTGTTCTTAGAGTCAAATGTTGCAAAATGTACACTTCAAATTTCTCGCATCCATCCCGCCCCCTTTACCTGAATGCATGTTCTAAGGAATGTCAAATAGGGGAAATCTAAATAAAATCTATTATATTTATTATAATACAAGTTTTTCTGTTATGATACATGTTTTCCAAAAAATATAAAATAGCGTTTTCGGCATTTTTGCGTTAGCACGACAGTATAATGCTTACATTGTTAGATTGTCACAGTGGGATCCCATCAATATATTCTCCCCGCTGCTGCGCACTTAATCGGTGATACTTTAGTCTGAAACTCCGAGATAATTATCAAAAAAGTGAAACTGGCAACATTGCGCCACGCTCCATTACTCCAGACACCCTCGAAGTGAGAGTGGCGCGCATGTGTAGTTATTCATTTTTTAAGTGGGAGCGAAATGCTCCTGATTTGCCCCGTGATTTGTTAGACATGAGTCTCTCCCCCTAAACGTGCAGTTTCCTCGCATTTTAAGCCGAAAGTCGTTTCGAATTCGTTCCACCTCTCGTTTGATTGACACACACGAAAACGGAAGGTAGAAAATAGTTTCAGACGAAGTTGACATTTCAAGGATGTATTTACCCCTGGTAATTCGACTTCACCCCCTCCTTTTAAAACAAAAATCCACCCACAAGTAATCGAAATTGGAATATTTTAGGAAATCTTTCGGACGGAACTCAATCGGATGGAATCAGTGTATGCACGAGGGTTGCCGCAGTCAGGGACAACCGGGAAGTGTCAGGAAATTCTAAAAAGTCAGGGAAAATCTGGAAATGTCAGGGAAAAGACGAAAATGTCAGGAAATAATTGTTAATAAGTCATCGTTATTTGCTTCCTAGAACAAGTTTGATGTTCCGAACAACACATTTTGCCGGAATACTATTTCTCATAATGTATTTTTATCAATCTGGCATATCTACAATTGACAGGGAATTTTACCAAAATCTCCCGTTACTCCAAATTTAAACATGACGTAATGTATGAACGGTTCCTCGCAGTGGCTAAGAAATCTTTAACAGAGCTACGTCAATGAATCACTCGAAAGAAAGAATTAAAAATCCGCTATAATCGCTACTCGTTTAAGGAGAAAGATAGTTTAACTCCTTTAGAAACAATATTTGTTTTCTGAGAAAACAACCGGAAGAATAATTGATCCGGCGCTTAAGACGTTCCCCTCCGCGGCGAAGGGATCTTTATTGAAGTGAGGATGAGGCAAAAAAAATCTTGGGAGCAACGGAGTCAAAACTTCGAAGTATGTTTTTTTTGGCCTCCCCCTTCTCCGCCACCCCTCGGTCGTCGCGTCGGTTCGACGATTTCCAAGTAAAGGGGCTAGGCAACGCCCTGTCCTCAAATTTAAGGGCAACACATGTTTAACCAACAACTTGACTTGGTGGGGGAGTCACTCTATCCTGAAACCAGCTAGACATTACGTTGCCGCATTTTGCATAAAATGTGAAATTTTGCCCCTACTGAACTGAATCGCTTGTTTGAATAAGAATAAAGGTCCAGAAATTGAAAAAAACCTGAATTTAGCCAAGATGTTTTGTGAAAAGAACATGATTTCGGCGCATATTATTTACCTATTTAGTCCTCAAGAAGAGCCTCGTAACCAAAAATGTGAAAATTTAAGGTCTTTATTCAATGGTAAAAAATGAACCCTTCACTAGAAACCTTTGAGTCGGACACTTTCGAACCAAACGAAACTGGACGTACCTCACAAATGTAAAATAATGGAAAATTGCGCGCACCCTAAAAACATTTTTCCGCAATAAAACTGAAGCTTCTTTTTTCTTAGTTGGATGGTTTTCGGAGCAAGACATTCATTCGTGACCATCCACTTAAAAAAAAGTTGCGAGGAGTTTATTTGGACTAGATTTTGCAATTTACAACCACAATTTTTGGCTCGTCCGTAAAAAACACGAACATGCATAGGGAAACTAACGATTCATACGTTGTTTATCAACCGAGCCAAAAATTGTCCTAATTATCGCAAAATGCAGTCCATTTAATATAATAAGGCAGTGACCCGATATTCGTGAAAACATTAGAGAGCGTTTTGTATCGACGCCTGAAAATATATTTTTCCGACCTCAAATTGGTTTTTTCACCGAACTGAGCAATAATTTTAGTCTTCATCTGAAAGCCCTTTAGCCGGACAAATACAGTTAACGTTCGTGTAAGCATCTTTTCAACGAATTGTCAGAAACTTATCTCCAGCTGACCTGAATCACTAATCCTCTGCCATATCTCTCATTTGCTAATTATTTTATTGCTGAATATCAGGGCAGCACCAAGCGAAAGAGTCAGTGGCGTGGCGTGCTTTGCGATGTATCGATTGGTCTGTCATTCAAGCCTATCGAAAAGGATCGATAAGCAGGATGGTCGCAGCGAACACCTTCATAATCGATTCTTTACCATAGCTTCAAATGGAGAAATATCGATAATAATCGACCATTCACGCCACGCCACTGGAGGCGTATCCTTGTTTTCGCCATGAACCACTCTAATGTGCACTTCTTTACGATCAACAACTCATGCTGAAATTGTAGCATACCATTCATTTGACGCTGCTATACCTTTATTACATCATTCGACGCAAATCATCACATCGATGGTCAAAGTGCGAAACCACGTATCTGCTGTACCTATTGCGTAGTGGCGTGGCGTGCCGTGCGATATATCGATTGTTATGTCATTTAAACCTATGGAAAAGGATCGATAATCAGAGTGTTCGCAGCGAACACCTTGGTAATCGATTCTTTATCATAGGTTTAAATGGCAGAACAGCGATATATCGCAAAGCACGCCACGCCACTGCTATTGCGGTATATTTTAAAATCTCTGCTCCTATTATATTTTTTCGAAGAGAAACAAGTTAAATATCGATGGCTAACGAACAGCACCGCCAATATCTACAAACTGACGATTTCGAAGAGAAAACTTTGCTATTTTTGTAATTTTAAGGGTAGATTTGCAATTTTTTCATTCAGTACAGCGTCACTGAAGCGCTCCCCTGCAGAATTGGTAAAAAACTAAAATCATTAGCTTGCGTATTTTATGCTATAGAATGCGGCAAAGTTGCTAACTCATAACTTTCCTCAAAAGCAATAATTTAACCGGAGGAAATTTGGCATCTCTTAAGTGTTTATACGGCGTTTTTCCTTAGCACGGCAGCATAGGATAAACGGATTTGTCATTTTTTTGTGAAGCTTCACAAAGTTCTCCAGTTAATGTAATTTTTACAAAAGGTGTCATTTTGTTTGCTTTCAGAGTTTTCTCAGTGTTGCTAGTTTTCTTATCAATATGTTACCGGTTTACCTCAGCAAATAGGGTGAGTTTTCACATTTGTTTTCTAATTTTTATACATTTATTATACTCAACTCTCTATTTCTCTTTTCTGAAATGCTTTTGCCCATAACAAATGCCGGGAAGAATAATCAAAATCAATGGGATTTTTTACTTCGTGCATCGTGCGGGCTTCACTTAACAATACTAAATTGCTTGCAATGCTCTAAACAAGCAGTTTCAACAAGTACGTGTTGAGGGGTGCGCCCAAACCCACGTCTATAATTAAGGGTAAATTGAGTTTGAAAATGACGGAAACTATATACGTGCAAGGTTAGATCCTCTTGAAAAAGCCAATGAAGCATTTAAGGCCGCGTGCACCATCACGTCCGCCATCTTAGATTTTGGAATTTGGAAAATTTGGCTCGGAATTCGAGTTTCCCGTCCAAATATACCCCGCGCAACTGAATTTCACAAAAATCGATTCAGCAACACCCAAGATGGTATTTTAAGTACATCACATCCGTCATAAGTCATTAGCGCGGAAGTTGGATTGAGTTCACTACACCTTTATTAATATGAGCTTTTTAGATGTTTTGATTGTAAATAGTGTACAGAAACTCATTGGCTTTAAAACAAGCAAAAGATTTTGAAAATCGGTCAATTTATAACGAAACGCGAATGAATCATGCAAAACACGCTGCCATTAAAACTTGGAATAGCATACTCCTTTTCCTGTCATCTTTGGCACAGTAGAAATGGTATCTTGACGTCATCATGGTATAGACTCAAGTTTCAGTTTCAAGTGTCCCTACCTTTAACGGTTAAATATTGTAGCTACATGTTAATTAATAGTTGTGCAATTGTGAATTGTTTGAAGATCAGTATCTTCAGATCACAGAATGAATAAAACATTTAACCATGTAACAGGTGTTGGTGACAAAAAGTAAACTCAAAGTCACACCCGTTGGCGCCATTGAGAAAATGTTGCCTAAGTTAGGATTGCGAGTCACAAGGTACAATGTACAAAGGGGGGGGGGCACATCCGCAACGCCCGGTGCGCTCAAAAGTGAGGCTGAGCCCTACAGCCTGTAGGGCTGAACCTTACAGCCGTAGGGCTCACCTTTACTGTCTGTAGTTGGCGCTATTTTACCTTAAGTGTTAGGGCCAGGCTCGGACTGGCCATAAGGCCAATCTGCCATTGGCAGATACGCTTCCTTTCCGCGCCGAAAACGCGCCCCTCTTACAGATAGCAAAATAAGAAGAAAACAAGCAGTGAACTCCAACACAATGTGTTGATAAGGCGCGTCATTAACTCGCACACATCAACCCCTTTAGTTTTCATTTACAGAGATTTCAAAATAGGCAAACAGCACAACAAGACTGCGAGGTCAAAGACGCACCTTGACGAGACCGTGTATTGTGAAAGTAGAAAGCTATTCGATCGAATTTAAGTTTTTTGATCTGCCTCAAGCAAAATCTTATCAGATTCTTGAAGAAAAGTGCTACGGAATAATTTAAGCGAAGAAAAGAAAAATTCTGTCGAACTCCTAGAAGATAAAGTCGATTTAAAGGTATTTTGGGGCTAAAATACCCAAATCACCGGTAGTAAAAATCCCGTTATATTATTGAAAAGAAATTGACTCGATATAAATGCAATTGCATTAAATACGTCTTGATTTTGTTATTTTAAACGTCTTTCCATGCGAAGAAATTCAACCATGTCGTTGCTTTATTCATTCATGAATTGAAAGTAAGCAATCTACATCCCGAAAATCTACCGATTTGCCGTAAAAAATTGCAGAAACTTGATATAGCAGGTCGATGCACCCACTCGTTGAATTTACCAACCAATTTCGTGAGTGCAAATGTGTAAAGATCAATACGCTATAGTCATTTTGGGTGCATTTATTTTTCATGAAACAATTATAATTTCAATCCCGAAAAACCACCAATTTTCCCTATAAAATCGAAAAAATCAAAATATGTCGACTCCCCGACGTGAAAATTAGATTCTACGTGTGTAAATACTTATGTATCGATATGCTGAACAGAAACTATGTGTGGACACAGTCAGAAGCCCGCGGCAACATTAATTCAACAGAAAAACTGTAAAAATTAGATCGCCCGCCTCTCCTCGTTACTTACAACAAACCGTTCTTATACTCATCTCAAAATTTTTCTCAGAGCTTTGGGTTATTATCAGCTTCCATTTAAACTCCGGTTCGATGGCCGAATCGGCTGCCAAAAAAGCAAGCCACTGTTGAAGGGTTCTATGAGAAATTCGTGATATTATCGGCTCTCAGGAAATCACCCCATGGCTAAAATTGGTGGTATAAATGTTTAAGTGCTTAAAATAATCGTATCCAAGAAACTAAGGAATTAAACTACTATGGAGTCAATTTCTTTTTAATAACATAACGGGATTTACTACCGGTGATCTAGCTATTATAGCCCCAGAATACTTTTAAAGCGCCTTTGCGTTCCAGAATCTCGACGGAATTTTTTTTTTTTTNTTTTTTTTTTTTTTTTTTTTTTTTTTTTTTTTTTTTTTTGGCTTAAACGATTGAAGAGACATTGTAGTTAAAAATATAAAGATTTTTCGATTTGGACGTATAAAAAATGTTTAACTCGTCCAGGCACACCGTGTATTGTATGGAGTACTGCTGTTATTCGACCGTTGTCTTCAGGTCAAAATTCTTACAAAGAAGCCCCTTGCAAGAGGCGAATTTTTTGTAATTTCTCCCAGTTTTTTCAGCGTTAGGTATATAATTGAATTGCTTGTCAAATTCTGAGGTCAATTATATTTCATTGTAATTTATACTTCCTTTTTTCCCCCTTCATTTTATTTTTCGTATCGAGAAGTCGAGGTTTTGTTGATTTCTTCGGATTTCGATTACTGTAACGTAACTTCTCTTCTATTCGGCCGATTTTTATGAATGAGGTCTCTTTTTATTTGTGTTTTAACGGAGAGTAAGGAAAACATTGCTAAATACACGCGAAACAATTTTTTTTGAAAATTGGATGAATCCTAGCGTGACGGTGAAATGGTTAATGAAGCGTGAGTAATTGGGGTACGGGTATCGGCCGCGTTGGGACCCAAGACGGCCCAAGGCCCATTGTTCTTCGTGACGCCGACGCAGTGATCAGGAGCGTGGGGACGAGAGGGCTGAGTGGACTCCTGTATGAGCCACGTTTAGCAAATGGTCTAATGAGTCTCGAGACTCATCACAGATTGCACTTACCACTATCCTACTGGCCCCGGCTATCAGAGCAAGGAGTACCAACTTTTGAAAAGCCTAACAGTGGTGTGGAGATCTGTCAAAGCAACGTTATGAACGAAACGGAAGAGTAAAATTCTCATTCCTAGAGTGTCGGCCTGGTCAGCCATCCTCGAATCAGTTCGTTTGCTTCCGCTTATATATGCATATTTTAAATCAGCGCGCCCTACTCTTAGGCTTTTTTTAAAAAAACCAAGTAACGTAGACTCTTGGTATTCACTGCACATAAACTAGCGAGCCCCAGAATGAGAAACAACTTTAAATCATAATTATTGACGGATAAATAAACTTTTTACACGCTTTGGAAAATCTCAGAAGTTCGCGGTAGTCACTTTTCGGTAAGGAACTAAGGGACTCAGTTATTGTATCGAGCAGGGTTCGAAACGATCGCAAAGGCGGTATACTACGTATACGCGCCAAAAAAAATTACGACCAAGAATATGTGAGAAAAATTTCTTAAATGAACGGAAAAAGAGAGAGTTAGGAGTAAAGAAAGGTGCTCTAACGCATGAAAGTGTCGAACAGAGGTCTAAGAACTACTTTCTGAAGCGTAAACAATTTTCTGTGAAATTGTCACCTTCTTCTTGACATACAGGCGCTTTATCATCCTCCTCCTTCATTCGCTATGTGTAACTCCCTCAGAAGCGATGGTCGGTTCGATTTTTAGACATACGCATCCTTTATAGACCTCTTAAGAGACTTTTAAACATATTTCCTCCTTTTCAAATGGCTATTGATTTGGACATACCATAGCATAGCTCGGGCAAACTTAACCTTAATTTATCTCGAAATTCAAAAATAAGAGACATCTAAAATGTAAACGCGATACAAATATTCGTGCAAGATGGATGTCCACATTGCATATGAAAAATAAGACGCGATGCCGTGAGTCGTGAACTCGTAATGCTCTGCTCTAGTTTGAAGCAACATTACAAATGAGACAAACGCAAACAAACACAATACATATGGAAATAATGTGAGGGAAAGGATGCGCGTTAACGACGGCGCAGAGATACAACTATTCGTACTTGATGGAAGTCCGTGCTGCATCTGAAAAATTGAGGGCGCGATGACGCGAACCGTGAGCTCTCAATGCTCTGCTTCATGCTGTCAACGCTCTGATTCGGGAGAAAAGTTTAAAAAAAGCCTGAAGACATCTCTTCTACCTTCGGCTGTATTACTCACGTAGTACTTAACGCACCATTACGAATAAGAAAAACGGAAACAAACACAATATGGAAAAAGATGGAGGGAAGGGAAAGGACGCGTGTTTACGACGGCGCAGAGATACAACTATTCGTACTTGATGGACGTCCGTGCTGCATCTGAAAAATTGAAGGCGCTATGACGCGAAGCGTGAGCTCTCAATGCTGTGCTTCACGTTCAATTTTGCAATTTTTACTCCGTGCGATCAATAAACTTTGAACCTGAAAATAGCGTAAACTTGTGCTGATTTGCCAAAATTTTCTGAACCCCTCTCCACGTAGGGAATGCCCTACCAGGAAATATCACATTACGCCCCTTTAACCAGCCAAGGGTCTACGCCCTCAGATGCGAGCCAGTCCGACCCTGGTTAGGGCTTAGCGCTGAGTTGCTTTTTCCGTGCACTTTCTGGCTCATTCTCAAAAACACATATGCGCATAAAGAAACAAATGGCACACACGTTGTGTGTAAAATGAGCCAGAGATTGTACTTAGTTCCTAATTGCAAGACATTATAGTCAAATTCTATGATGAAATTGCAATTGGTCAGTCGCGGTCAGTGG